AAGTACATTAGTGACATTTCTGAAGTCTTTGCCAAGTAGAACATATTGTATGTGTGTGTTGTGTGTGTGTGTGTGTGTGTGTGTGTGTGTGTGTATGTTTTATGGTAGTTTGAATGCAACTGGAACCCATAATCTCAAAGGAATCGGCATTATTAGGAAGTGTGAAATGCAGAAGTGGGTATAAACTTGTTGGAGGAAGTGTGTCACTGTGTAGTCAGACTTTATGATTCCCTATGTTCAGAATACTGCCCATTCTGACAGTCAACTGTTACCTTCAAGATGTAGTATACTCAGCTCCTTCAGCACCATGTCTAACTGCCTGACACCAACTCCCCACCAAGATGATAACATACTCAACTTCTGAGACTGTAATTGAGCCAACCCTATTAAATATTTTTTGTAAGAGTTGTCATTGCTATGCTGTCTCTTCACAAAATAAAAAGCAGATCCAACACACACACATGAGGCTATTATAGTTATTTCACTCATTATTTCTAACTAAACTTCCAATAATTTTAGTAATCATTTGCATATGACAAAGAATACTGATTCTAGAGTTTTATAATTAAAATCAGAGTTTTATACTTTATGTAGTATAAAGTATAAAAATCAAAAGAAGTGAGATCAGGGCATGATATGTACACACTTATAATTTGAGACCTCTAGAGACAGATTAAAGTAGATTTCAGTTAGTTCCAGGCTTATATTGCAAATTCTAGGCCAGTTATGTCTACATGAAAAACACAACTGCTGCTGCGGACCATGTTGATGTAGAGGCTATGTTGATGTCCATGATCCGTTCTGGATCCATGCTGATTTTCATTGCCTGTGCTGCCACATGATAAGGTCATGATAAGGTCTTTGGTCTATAACTCTTCTGGATACCTTGTGGATGTCTGTAGTTCCTATAACTATGGATACTGTGGCCAATGAATCTTCTGTTGCAGTGGTATGGATGACTCCAGACTCAGAGTTGAGAATGAGAGACATTGAAGGCATTTGCAATTCTGTCTCGCCGCTGAAAAAGAAACTGTCACAACGAGAAATCATCGGAAGGAATCTTTAAAAGTTATAATAAACATGCTAAAGTATAATACTTTGAAGCTGATCACTTTCTGCCTGGGTATGGGAAAGGACTCAGCTATACTTAAGGGGTTGGTTGCTAAGATTTTACCATCATTCAATGAGGATATCAGAAACAGAACTGTACTTGGTGCATTTTGTAGGGAATTGAGTTGAGGGTTGGAGAGTGTACCTAGCAGTCATGAAAAGCAAGTGTGATTGGGGTCCATTATGTAAAATTTCCAAATAATTAATAAAAACAATGTGTTAGAAAATCACCCCTATAGAATCAAATATTTGAATGTTTGGTCAACAGAGTATGGCACTACTTAGGTTAGGTTATGCATTCTTATTTGGGTAGGCATGGTTTTGTTGGAGGAAGTGTTTCACTAGGAGTGAGTTTTCATGTTTCAGAAGGCCAAATCAGGTTCAGACTCACCCTCTCTTCCTGCTGCCTGTGAATCTATATGTCAAAACTCTCAGCTTCTTCTCTAGCACTATATTTACCTGCATGATACCATATTCTCTAGCATGATGAGAATGGACTAAAGCTATAAACCTATAAGCCCCAATTAAATGCTTTCCTGTAGAAAAGTTGCCTTGGTCATGATTTCTCTTCACAGCAATAAAACATTGACTGTGACACATTCCCTCATTTAAATGAACACACACACACACACACACACACACACACACAGCATACATATACATATTTAAGATTATATCATACAATGAGTTATGTCATAGCATTTCTACTGTGTAACATAGAGACACTATGACTATGACAACTCTTATAAAGGTAAAAAAAAATTATTGGGGTGGCTTACATTTTCAGAGGTATAATTCATTATCATCATGGCAGGGTGCATGGTGGCTTGCAGGCAAAGATGGTGCTGGAGAAGTAGCCCAGAGTCATACATGACCCATACTTGACCTCAACAGCTTCAATTATTCTCAGAAGCAAATTTCACAATCTATTTTGCCTATCATTAACTCTAAACCTAGAACAATATGGCTGAAGTTGTCAAGTTCTGTTGCTTGTTGGAGTTGAATTATGACTCCCTCATTCAATTACATCATCACCAGCTTTCTGCTTCATTTTGCTGCCTAAACTTGACTCTCCTGAATCTGAGTCTTTAGTCCAAATTGGCCTCGAATTAAGATCTGCCAGTCTCTGCCTTTCCTGTACTGGGATTAAATGTGAGAACCACCGCTCTCAGCTCTAACCTCTTTTTTTATTTAAAAAAAAATATTTTTCATGTTACATACCAACCCCAGTTTCCCTAGACTCCCCTACTGTACCCTCCTGCTTCCCAACCCTCACCTACTCCTCAGAGATGTAAAGCTGTCCTTGAGGAGTCAACAAAGTGTGGTATACCAAAGGGAGGCAGGACAAGCTCCTCTGCCCTGTATGAAGGTTGAGCAAGGTATCCAACCATAGGCAATGGACTCCAAAAAGACAGTTCATGCTCCTGGGATAAGTCCTGGTGGCACAGTCAACATTAAACAGATCAAGCCATATAACTATCACCCACATTCAGAAGACTTAGTACAGTACCATGCAGGTTCCCCAGCTGTCAGTCCATAGTCATGAGTTCCCATTAGCTCAGGTCAGCTCTCTGTGGTTTTCCCAATCATGTTCTTGACCCCCCACTTTGTTCACATGATCCCTCCTCCCTCTCTTCTACTGAACTGCAGTATCTCATCCCAGGGCTTGACTGAGGTCACTAAATCTGCTTCCGTCAGTTACTAGATGTAGATTCTATGATGACAGATAGGGTAGTCACTAATCTGATTAAAGGGGAAGGGCAGTTCAGGCATTGTGTCCAATGTAACTAGGTCTCTTATCTGTGGTCATCCTTGTGGACTCTTGAGAATTTCTCTAGCACCAGGTTTCTGCCTAACTCCACAATGACTCCCTCTATTAAGGTATCTCTTTCATTGCTCTCCCCCTCCATTACTCTCGGAATTGGGTCTTCTTGATCCAGCATGTTTCCATACCCCATCTCCTCCCTTCTATCCCATCCCAGTTTAACCAAGAGATCTTAACTATTTTCTCTTCCTTGGGCCCTCCATGTGTGTCCATCTTAGGGTCCCTCTTTTTTGCCTAGCTTCTCTGAGGTTTGGATTGTAGCCTTGTTATCCTTAGCTTTAAATCTAATGTCTTCTTATGAGAGTCTACATACCATGTTTGCCATTCTGAGTCTGGGTTACCTCAATCAGTGTGTGTTTGCATGTTTTTTTTTTTCCTAGCTTCATACATTGGGCTTCAAATTTCAAGATGTCATTTTGTTCTCTGCTGGATAATACTCCATTGTGTAAACATTTCACCTTTTCTTTATTCATTCTTTGGTTAATGGGAATTCAGATTGTTTCCAGGTTCTGGCTATCATAAATAATGCTGCTATGAACATAGTTCAGCAAATGCCCTTGTGGTATGACTATTCATCCTTTGGATATATGTCCCAGTGTAGTATTTCTGGGTCTTGAGATAGATTGATTCCCAATTTTCTTCAAACCACCATGCTGATTTCCAAAGTGGCTAAACAGCCAAATCCTGTCAATGGTACCAGCTTCTGTCTTAGTTAGGATTTACATTGCTGTGAGGAGACACGATGACTACAGCAACTCTTATAAAGGAAAACCACTTAATTAGAGTGGCGTATATTTTCAGAGGTTTAATCCATTATCATGGTGTGACATGTTGGTGTGCAGGGTGACATGGTACTGGAGAAGTAGTCCAATGTTCTCCATCTTGGCTCACAGGCAACTAGAAGTGGTCTAGACCACTTTGCAGAATCTTGAGCATATATAGAACCTCAAACCCTGCCTGCACAGCAGTGACACACCTCTTCCAACAAGACTACACCTGCTCCAACAAGACAACACCTCCTATTAGTGACACTCCTTTCGGGAACATTTTCTTTCAAACCACCGCAATACCAACAGTATGTTCCTTGTTATTTATGGAACAAGGTAAAGTGGTTTTAAATGTTTAATACATCTTCACATATCAATATTTTAAAATTATTTATTCTATTTTTTGAGATTATATTATTCTTATATCATTTAACCTTTCACATTCCTTATCGCAAAACCCTTTTTTACAAGTCATGATTTTTTCATTAATTATTATAACATAATAATCTTCTTTGCACACATTTTTGCTTCTAACTATATTCATAAATTATATATTTACTTAATATTAGTATAAATTTTACTTTATTATCTTGTAAAGATTGGGATTTAACCGTGAATCTTATACAAGCAAATTAAGCATTATACAATTAGATTTTCCCAGCTCCCAAGTGTTATTTTTAATCTGTGAAATATGAAAAACTATCTGTTTATAGCTTCTGTGGGTCATCCTCTTCGAAAACGCATTATGATACCATTAGTATATGCTTTCTTGTGCTTTTATAAAGTGCATTAGGGAGATTTTTATGTCCTGTTCATAGTTTATAAACCACTTCATCTTTGCAAATACAGTTTTATGTTAATGAGCATCTTGTTTGGAAACATTATTACTGCTTTATGCATAAAAGTCATGAATGATATTTTTAACTCTTATTATTTGAGGTAGGGTTTCTCAGGCAATACAGTATTTCAGAGGTTCAACAGACTTTTCTATCAATTTTCAGTGTGCGTTGTATCATTTTGGGGAGGTGACTTGAAGAGAATAATCATACTTTATTTATGTTTTCACTTTTTATTTATTCTTTGTGACTTTCACATCATGTATCCTGATCCCATTCATCTGCCCATCCCCTCATATCTCTCCTCTGACCTTACATGCTAGTACAAGATAAAACAAAATCAATTCAAGAATAAAGAAAAAAGTAAAAAGGAAAAGGCATGTTATGGGAGCTGTAGAGTGACACAGTAAGTCACACAGTATGACTTTTAATCCATATCTCTTTACTTGCAAGTGTGCATTGGAAAGCAGCAATGGTCTTGTTTAAGGCCTCTGATTTCTTCTCTACTATAGATGCTGATGCTAGACCATCACTGGGACTTGAATATCTTGCTATGGTCCTGTTTCATGGAGATCCTGTAGCTTTGGATCTGCAGGACTGGCCCCTTCACTTGCCCTAGCAGATCCTAGATGGGGTGGATGTTCATGGTGAGAAAACTTAAAATCCTGTTACTGTACCTAGGTGGTAGCAGCATTGTTCAGCCCATCAGTTCTACCTGATCCTCCCCACCAGGTTGAATTTTCCATCAATGCCATGGCTAATTCAGGCGATGTAGCAAAGAGCAGCACAGGTCCTCCTGCTTTCATGAGTTCAGAGCCGACTCACCCACACCTACTTCACCAGGGCCATCATTAAAATGCCAACCGGGCAAAGTGTAGGGTCTGCACTCGCGAGTGTTACAGACCTTGAGGGGCATGGCCAGTTCTTCCACTCTCATGATCAAGGGGCCAGGTCTCCCTCCTGCTGCATTCTAATAGATGTCTTCTTAAGTGAGAGTTTGAATTTACCCACTTGATAACCTGCAAGAAATGATCAGACATGTTCTTCAGCATGTAGGAAGAGAGCAAGGGTGTAGATCTTGGGTCTGCAATGAAAGTTTCAGTACTGCTTCAGTATTACCATTTCTATGGAAGGGCATTTGAAGCCTGTCAAAGACAGGTTTCAGGAAGACTGTCTTCCAGTGGTCAGTCACATTTTAAACCACACACTGTAGCTTGAATGATATTTAGTGACTAAGTAGTCATGATAAATTCATTTAATATCTTCAACAAATAATGATTCAAAGACATAGAGAGATTTCATAGCTTTTTACATCACCAACTAATAAAGATTTACTTAACTTGTTTCAGGATTAATGGTAATCTCAAATTTATAATGATGTGACAATATCACACCCTAATATCCACTGACCTAGCTTATGTATCAACACACAGGATAAAAGTCATTCCATTTTAAGGATATTTTGTTGTATGTTTTAAGATAGAGACATAAAACATGAAAAGTTATTTAAATACAAACTCACAAATCAACACATAAAATGGGAACATAGTAAAATTGAAAGAAAAAAATTAAAGCAGCCATCTCTTTCAGTTGTCCCTTAAATGGACATGAACTTCAAATGTTACAATTGCCTGATTGAGAATTTTAATTTTTATTTTCAATCAATCCCTAACTTTGAAACTATTTCTTAAAAATTATTATTGAAGATCAAAAGGGATTCTATAAAGCTTCATAATGTAATTTTGAAATCTTGATTTATAGATTTAGAAATATGAATTTTCATAAATGCTACAATAAAAACTTACAAATACATACTGAAAACTAAATTTCTCACAATATTAAAAGTGTCACACTTTGGATAAATCATGCTGCATGACTTCTAACAGCCTTACATGTTGTAAGATACATGAGGGTTTTTTTTTTATATAAACAGGTTAGTACCATGAAATTAGATATAACGATGTCACACCCTTTATCTAAGATGCACAACTTCCATCAAAGGAAGCTTAAAGAAAGTGATAAAAAATACTTTATTTTTTATTGAGAGTAATGCAAAATTAGATTAACATGTAGAAATCTTATATGCCTGTGGACTTATTAACATGATCCAATGATTTTAAAAGGAGTTTTCTTTTACTTTAATGCTGATTTCTAGTTTAACTGCAAATTATTTTACATGGATCTTCTTAAATATATTGACATGTTTTGAAAGATTGACTGAAACATGTTCTTAATAAATGGAATAATCTTTTTTCTTATTATATTATATTTGAAAATAAGACTTTTATACAAAAAATTCTGGTCGTGGTTTGGGACTAAGTGTTCCAAATCTCACACTCTCTATAAAACATCAGCAGTGTGTCTGGGTTAGCTTGCTTCTCCTGCATAAGAAGTTTTCTCTGACGATAACTGAATGGGATATTGCTTTTTGGATACAGCAAAATGTTGTTAGGAGTCATTTCATTGCTACATTCTTTGAACTCAGTGATTCTCAACCTGTGGGTTGTGACACCACTATGGGGAATGCCAAACAACCCTATCACAGGTGTCATATATCAGGTATCCTTCATATCAGATATTTACATTACAATCATAGCAGTAGAAAAATTACAACTATGAACTCGCAAAAAACAAACAAACAAAAAACTTTATGCTTGGTAGTCACCACAATGTGAGGAACTGTATTAAACGATCACTGCATGAGAAAGGTTGAGATTCAATGCTTTAGCTAAACAATAGATTTTGGTTTCTAATGAACATTTCTCTACACTTATAATAACAATGGAAGTTATCTTGTACTACCAGGTTTTAAAAAAAATCTGGAAACAATAAATAAATTTTTGTCAGAATTTTTGAATTTTAATTTAATTCAACTGTTTTCGAAGTCTCTAAGACCAACATAAGAGTGCAATGAATTCAAGACACAAGACCTTAAGTGCTTTCAGAAACAAGGATCACCCTGGATCATCTGTTCCATGTTTTATTAAGATATATTCACAAAATTTGTAAGACTTTATTGCGTTTTAAAAATAAGGAATTATATGAGAAAGACATTGCCTTTTAAGATAAAAAATGTTCTGCGTTAAACCACCTGACATATAGCTATTACTGTTCAAATGTATTCTAGAGAACAGTCTTCTTATGTCATTCCCATAGTTTTACTTCTCTATAAGAAAGACTCATGTGTTCCCACACGTTTCAAGATTGGTAGTTTAACAATGATAAATGATACTATGAATCAGAAGCAGTTCTTGCTTCACACTTCAGCACTAGCAGCTTCAACTTACTTGCTTTACTAGTTTTTTTAAAAAAACACACTTTTGAGGACCCCATTTTGAGGTGCAAAAGATATAATCTTAGAAAAATTTAAATATTTGAATTCAAGTAAAGAAGAGATGAACTTCTATTAAAGATGGGAATTACGTAATGAGTAAATTAAAATTATTCTACCTTAAAATACAAATTTATAAAATAAAATATGCTTTCATCTATTGGATATATGTAACTCTATATGCATTTCTAAAGTTAATAAAATCATCGATCCCTGATTAGTTCTCTTATATTACTAAAAATGGTCAAACTAAGGTATCACATTGCATTGTTTAATATTGGAATTTTTCTAAAAATTAAAAATGTTGTCTTAAGAAGCATTTTTAAATGTTGAAAATCAGCAACTTTATAAATGTTGTGTCATTTTTTCCTAATGTTAAGGTTTTTCTCTATATTAGTTTGAATTGGCCCAGTTGAAAGAGAGAAATAAAATCTTATCTAAGTAAGGTCATTAAAAAGTATAAACAATCTAATTTACTCTAATATATTTCAACAAATTTTAGATATTTTAAACTCTATAAATTATTTTGTATATTTGTATTGTAATTGGAACTTTAAAAATAAATTTGGCAAAAGTAGTATAAATTTTGTGATAATAATCTTCAAGAGCACAAATTATTTTAAAGATAAATAAAATATAAGTTATAATTTATCATGTTACATGTATAATGAAAATTATGGTGTTTATGAAAGAGATAAAAGCAATTTGAAGCTTTATATTATGTAAGGAAGACATGTAACATGGATTTTGTTTGTTTTCGTTGCTTTTTGGAGCTTCTTCTAGAATTCACTTCATACACCACCTGGCATCGAACCCAATGAGATCCTCCTGCCTTTGTCTCCTGAGTGCTGGGATTAAAGGCAAGCATCACGACCTCCCTTATGTAACATGGTGCAACTTTTTGTGTCTTCTATCTAATCTGTTCCCATTACATTTTCTCAAATATTTTGAAAAATAAGTTTTGTATGTACTGTATTTATAGAATGAGAATACATGTGCAAACAGCATTTACTTTATTTTTCATTACAGTTGAACAGATTGTCTGTGAGGAACAAACATATCACATACATTTACCTCCAAAATCGATGTGACAATTGCTCTGTGGTAGATTATCCTTTTGCAATGATCAGAATTGTATTCAGATGAATAAATGATGTAGTTTTAATGAATATTATAATGGCTTAAAATAATATTTTAAACACATTCAATTTCCTAACTTATGACTAAATCATGAGCATCAATTAAAACTAAAATTCTAATACGAAACATCCCACAATGGTACTTTATATAATTAATGTTTAATATAATTGATGGTAGCACTTAGTATGAATAAATAAACAGAAACAGTTTATTTGATTGCAGCTTATAGTTATGGATTTTTTGATATATCTTCTTGATATTTGAAACCAATTTATGGTAAAGTATATAGTGAAAAAAAGTGAAAAACTGTAGCTTTTTAAGCTATTACCATTCTGAGTTTGGGAAGCCATTACACTTATTTATTGTAGAGAAAAGATTACTGAATTCTCACAAAATTTGAATATTGCCCACATATATATCACAGAACAGCTAAAATTATGTTATTGTTTTAAAAAGTAAGTGAAATCATTTTGGAACCCATCCAAAGTATATCAACCTAAGTATAGCATTTCCAATCTACTATTTTAATTTTAAAATTTGCATAGCATAATTCTGATATAGAATTTAAGTGGAATAGAACTAAATTGATGAGCTTTTCTTCTACATCAGTCCCATATCCTTTTTCTTATTGTATATGCATATAATTTTATATCTTATTGTGTATATATATATATAATTTATTTATCAAAAATTGTATATTATAATATACTAATTACTTTAGCATGTTGATTTTTAAAGTTTTTTTTACACACACAAAAATAAAGATGCAGATTATCCCTAATACTTGTATACTAACACATGCTTAGCTGACTCCTTAATAAGAATTGTTGTCTAAGAACAGCCCATTTTAGCAATTGATGGAATCAAATTGACAACTTATTTTAACCAAAATTAATGCTTACACTTTGAACAAAATCATTGAACACAATAGATTGTCCTGTAACAAGTCCACATCAATATAGATACTTTTTGTGAAAAACACAAAAGCAATAAGTGATACAAAATTAGTCTTTTTAAAATTTTTATCAAAACATTGAACATTCACATGAGAATAAAAAAGCTGATTTTAAAATCTTAAAGCCTTGAAGGAAGTTGACACTGGAATCCCATAGAGTTAAATGTAAAATCAAAGCTATGAATGACTCTGAAATTAAGGAAAATCTAGATCCTTGAGTGAACTAAGGGAATGAATGAATGTAACGTGAAAGGTAACCACTAACCAGATCATTTTTGAGCTGTGTTCCATAAAAGTAAATCCCTTCTTTGTGATTAACAATATGAAGGGACTGGGAAAAGATAAATCACAGACTACAGAAAGATATTATAAAAGGAAATGTGATAAAGAACCATTGATAAAATATAAAAAGTGTTTAACATTCTGCTATATGAAAACTATTTTATGCATTTGTTTTTATGTATATATGATATATATGTATATGTGTGTATAATTATGAAAGAAGCAGGTTATCAACTTGAGAGTTAGAAAGATGTGGCTTGACTATCTTTCTTATTTTTATCATTTATTTTGAAATTATCATATTATTATAT